GGATGTCTATAACGTGACAAAGGCATTTGGATGCAAACTGCATTTGAGTACTTCTTTGGAACTCATCCAATTGGCGTTTTTTTCTTGATTGCTCCGTAAAAGGAAAACCAATAACTTTAGTAGGAATACTGTGACGCCAACATTTTCCTAAAAGCCAACATATATAACAAATTTAAACATAGAAGACTCAGCTTAAAACGTAATTCAAAGAAAGATATACTCGGAGCTGGACAAATAACGATGCGAAGAGGATAGAAAGGATAAGGATCTAACCAATTTGTGAAACCCACTCTTCAATTGTAGAGTGTGATGAGGTAGACTTGGTAATTAGCGACACCCATTTTGTATCAGACGTGAATGGAGTGGCGGAGATAAAGGAAGAGGGTAGAAGAAAGAAGAATAGTGTAGGCATCCGTTCGACTTCAACGGTGTTGGCCTCTCTAAATATCCCTTCGAATTCGAAAATGGAGATTAACGGTGTAAGCATCCGTCTAGGGTGAATCTTGTTGAGGGACAAAAAGTACCATGACTTCAGCGAATAGTACAATCGCTTTTTGCTATGAATTACACCAACACATTTTTTGTACCTAAAATAACCTTACCTTCATTGAGGATTATAAGATTTTAGAGATTTAGGAAGCTTCTCAATGAAATCCATGGTAACATGCTGCCAAGCCTGTTGTGGAATGGGCAAAGGTTGCAATAACCCAGGGTATTTGACATTCTCATGTTTGCATATCTGACAAGTGTGACATGTACTCACCACCTTACGCACTGTTACTTTCAAATTAGGCCACCAAAACAGATTTTTCACTCTATGTAGAGTAGCTAATTCTCCTGAATGTCCTCCAGTAGAGCTCTCATGTATCATTGAGACCAGTTTAGCTCTTATATCTCCATTTACCCCCACATACAGTTTGTTCCTGTACCTTAATACTCCATCATAATAAGAAAAGTAACTCATATTATAGGGGGTCATTACCAATTGTAAAATAGCTTCTTCAGCCTCACTATCTCCTTCATAACTCCGGATCAGTTCCTCTTTCCAAATGGGTCTAACTGCTGATATGGCATAGCAACTTCCTGCCACTTTGTCATCTTGTTGGTCCCTCCTTGATAATGCATCTGCTACCTTATTTTCTGGCCCTTTCTTGTACTCAATCTTGTAATCAAAACCCAGAAGTTTGGTAAGATATTTATGCTGGATAGGAGTAGAAATTCTCTGGTCAACAAGGTATTTGAGGCTGATTTGATCTGTTCGAATGATGAAAGGGGCATGTAACAAATAAGCTCTCCATTTTTCAATGGCTAGGAGTATGGCTAGAAACTCCTTCTCATATATAGACAGTCCCAGATTCTTTGGTCCCAGAGCTTTGCTAATGTAGGCTAGAGGATGGCCTTCTTGCATTAAAACAGCTCCCAGACCATTATAGCAAGCATCAGTTTCTACTATAAAGATTTTGTTAAAATCTGGTAATTGTAATATAGGCACTGTACACATTGCTTCTTTAAGCTCATCAAATGCTTGTTGAGCCTCTTCACTCCATCTGAACATTCCCTTCTTTGTTAAATCAGTTAAGGGTTTAGCTTTAACTCCATACCTTGAGCAAAACTTCCTGAAGTATCAAGTCATGCCTAGAAACCCCCTTAATGTTTTGAGTGAAGTAGGTACTGGCCATTCCATAATGCTTGTAATTTTGTTAGGATCCACAGCCACACCTTTTGCACTGATAATATGCCCCAAATACTCTACTTGTGGAACCCCAAATATGCATTTTGATCTCTTAGCATACAGTTTGTGCTGCTGCAGTAATAGAAACACTTTCCTCAACTGTGCTTTATGAGTTTCCTGATCTGGGCTATATATGAGAATGTCATCAAAAAAGACAAGCACAAACTGTCTTAGATAGTCACTGAATACACTATTCATAAGAGCTTGGAATGTAGCAGGAGCGTTTGTTAGCCCAAAGGGCATTACAGTGAATTCATAGAGTCCACTTGCAGTTGTGAAGGCAGTCTTCTCGATGTCATCAGATTTCATCCTCACCTAGTGATATCCTGCTCTTAAGTCTATCTTTGAAAAAATTGTTGCTCCATATAACTCATCCAATAAGTCATCTATTAGAGGAATAGGGTAATTATTCTTAATAGTGACTGAGTTCAGCTTCCTGTAATCTACACAAAATCTCCAAGATCCATCTTTTTTCTTAACCAAAAGTACAGGACTGGAGTAGGGGCTTTGACTGTGCTGTATAACTCCAGATTTAAGCATTTCTTTAACAAGCTTCTCTATTTCTTGTCTCTGCAGGTATGAAATATCTATAAGGAGCTTGTTTAAAAGGCTTCTCCCCTGATTTGATATCAATCTTGTGCTCACAGTTTCTGGATGGTGGTAGTTCTTTGGGTTCCTCAAAAACTTCCTGAAATTCAGTGAGTAATGGTTCAAATTCTGAATCATTGAGGTGTTTTGCTTCTTCTTTCAAAGTAGTTACCATGCAGAGATACTTGGACACAATCCCATTCCTTTTGATCAGATTCTTTTTCATTTTCTTCCCTGATATCATCTTCACAGACATCTCTGGTTGTATCCCATTCACCATCACTCTTTCCCCATTATGGTCAAAAGTAATAGAGTGATTATCATAGTCAAGCATTATGGGTCCCAGTTTCTTCATCAAATCTACCCCTAACACCATATCATAACCTCCTAGGGGTAAGATTCTTACACTGGCTGAGAATATATGTCCAGCCATCTCCCATTCCAGCTTGGGGCACTTAGAGTTGCACTCTATTTCCCCCCTCCAGCCACAGTAACCTGTAATGGGTTAGTCACTTCAATCTCACAGTTGATTTTCTTAGCTGCTCCTGGATCTAAGAAACTGTGAGTACTACCAGAATCTACTAGTATAGTCAATTGATTGTTCTTTACATTCCCTACCAGTTTGATGGTATCAGTAGGTATGTGTCCTTTTAGGGCATGTAATGATACTCCAAAATCTTTGTCTTCATCACTCTCTTCTTTTTCAATTGGTTCATGGGACCTTTCATCTTCTTCAGCCAGTAATATCACAAAACTTTTCTTGCATTTATGACCTACTGTATATATCTCATCACAATTGAAACACAATCCTCTTTTCCTCCTTGCATCCATTTCTTCTTTACTCAAGCGTTTCACAGGTATGGTTTTCTCTGTAGGTAGCACTACTTTTTGTTCATTTCCTGTTTTTGGCCAATAACTTTTGGATTGTGTTTTCCCGGTTCTTCCTACTGCATCTAACAGGGATTCTTGTTTCTTGGCAACTACATAGGCCTGGGCTAATGTTTCTGGAGACACAATCTCTACCATATGTCTGATTTCATCTTTTAACCCACTGAGAAAGCTTTTCAGAAAATAATACTCATCAAGATATCTATTTTTCTGCAGCATGAAAGATTTGAGTTCTGTGAATTTGTCTATGTAATCCTCAACAACTCCTTTCTGTCTCAGTTTATTAAATTCTCCAATGATATCTTTTTCCTTTGAAAATTTATCCAGAAAAAGAGTTACAAATGCATCCCAGCCCATTGATTCTTTGCCAACAACTTCGTCCATGTACCATATTTCTACTTTTCCCTCCACATACATTCCCAATAATACGATTTTATCAAAATCTGACATTGGGTGAATAAGGAAATAACGATGGCACTTCCTAATCCAACCTCTAGCATTATCTCCATCAAAACGAGGAAAATCTATTTTGATACCTCTGTGATTACCAGGAGTTGATAGGAGTCCTTGATCTGGTGGTCTATTGGATCGAACGGTTGGAGGAGAGGTAGAAGTGTTGCTAATGCTTTTAACTGCTGCCAGTATATCTTCGAATTTCTTCTCATGTACCTCCATTATCCTGGCTAGGTCAGTTTTTTGTGATTCATTCATCCTTTCAATCTCTGCCCTGATGCTCGTTAGATCTGTTTCCAGTTGAGTAATGCGGTCCGTATTGCTGAGTTTGGCCATTGGTGGATTCTTGTGTTCTCTGATACCAATTGTTATGAACTTCAATAGAAAGTATGAATATTCATAACAAAATTGAACTGGTAGAAATGATGGGGAGAATTAGCAGAGTAATAGAAATAGGAAGAGGGAAGAAGATGAACAGTTTATTCATAAGCCTCCAATCCGGATACAATGTAATCGTTTATATACAGATGATATCTCAGCTAGTTAGTTGGTAGTGTGATGACGTGTCATCCCTCTAACAATAATACCGACTAACTACTAACTGAAGCAGCTAACTATATGTAAAATAGATGGCCTGATTGTAACAAGTACATGGCCATGGAGGAGGTAACCGTGACCCAGGCTCCAATCGTCAGCTGTGAGGGTGACCGACACGGCGGCAGTGTGCGGCAGGCACCACTGTGACGGAGGTGAGTCGGTGTAGCTGGGCTACGTTGCCGGCCAGTAGAGTTCCGAGAGCCATCTTCCACTTTTTGGGTCCTTCCGCGTGGACGCTGGTCGCTAGATCCAGACCTCCTTTGTTTTTCTTGATCAGTTTTTTTACATTTTTTCCCCGATTTTGAATTAAAACCGTGAAAAACAACTAAAAACCTTCCATCTTCGCCCATTTTTTCTGAAACTTCCTGCTAGAATGATGAGAGAGACAATGTAGGCTCTCAATGAAAGCACCAATGTTGGTCCAAATTAGGACGTTCGTAGACTTTTTGGAAAGCTACGAAAGAACACTCAAGCAGGAATCAGGAAAGCAGTACAAGTATGGAAAGTTGCTAGAGAGTTTGAGAGCCAGAAATAGCATCTAGAAATTGCCCCTAAAACTAAATTACAACGTGCCTTTTATAGGCGTATACAATTCGTAACCGCTACCGATAATAATGACTAATTAATTACAACATTAATACGGAATTAAATACATAATTAAACAACGCATTAATTGCTTGACCGTTACTTTTCCTAGCTGGCAGGTCGGTCGGACTGGCAGGCTTCCCGTTGAGCTGGTAGGCAAGCTCCAGGTGGTGGACTTGGATCCACGGGTCCAAGTTCGGGGCTTGGGCCGATTAGGCTCTGGGCCTAGTCCCATTACTCCATCAGTTACATTTATTTAAGAACGGAGGTAGTAATACGGATAATAATTCCGGGAATAGGACTAAATCAATGTTCAAGTGCACAAATAGGACTCATATTTTATAGGACCAAAAATGAAGTGATTAGACAAAATTGTCCTTAATGAAATTAAGGGTCAAATAAAAAACAAAGTCCTTCTCCAGCCGCCTCATTCAACGATGCAGATAAGTAGCGTGGACTCCAAACCGCACGTCTTCATCACCTTCAGTGCACGGCCGCTGCCGCTAAGACCGCCGCCGCCGCTGAGACCACCGCCGCCGCTGATGCTGCTAAGATTGCTGATGCACACCTCCGGTGAGGCGATTTACCCTTCCTACAGTGAGAACGGTGCCACTTCTAGATCCTTCTCCGAAGATGTTGACATGTTTTTAGTCACAGCTACATTTTCTGGAATGTATTGTACCAATTTCTGGGAAAATTGTAATTATGTTAACAATAATGTCAAAAAAATGGCATTTTTGTATGCAAAAACTTGAAAAGTTTCAGAATAAAATTATGGCATTTTCACATTTGAGTTTCAAGATGTGAAATAGGAGGAAAAAAATGAAGAATTAATGTTGGTGATAAATTATAATCAATGCCAGAAAAATGCCACAAATTGTGGAAATGTCAAAATTTTGGCATTCTCAAAGATGTAATATTTCCATCTACATAAAAAAATGCCAAAAATTTGACATTTTAATTACAAAAATTTAGATCTGAAAATACATTAGGTTTAAAAATTTAGATCTGAAAATTTCTTAACACCAGCCACAAAATTTCATTCCCAAAGATTTCATATTCAAACATTTTGGATCTAGAATACAGAATCGAAAAGATATTCTAATAAATTAAGAGAAAATAATAATAAATGCAAGAGGAGGAGGAGGAAGGAGAAAGAGAATAGGAGAAAGGAGGGGAAGGAGAAGAGAAGAAGGAGAAGAAGGAAGAGGAGGAGGCAATTACCTGAACGCATGCTGGCTGGCCGGAGTAGGTTGTGCGGAAGAGAAGCTCCATCGTTGCGATCGATTTACCTAGGAGAGGAGCTCGCGGCTTGCCTGCGGTTGATGTGGAAAAGGAGAGATGCTGATCGATGGAATGCAGGACTGGTGTGGCCGCGTGAGGTTTTATTAAAGCAGGGGTAATTAGGTAATAAAGAGTCCTATTTAGGACAAATAAAATATTAAGAGTTAATTCCCTATCTACGAGTAAAATATAACAAAACTGCAAAAACAGGAGTCTAAAGCTCCGTATAATTACGTAGGAGTAAAAATTTGCATGTTAACATAACTTGTAACACCCTGATTTTAGAGATCGATCTAGTTACATTAATATTTAATTTTGTTTAGTCAGTTAAATAAGTTTATTTTATGAATAATGTGATTTATTGTTTGATCATGTGTTGTTCTGGCAGGTAACGTTGACCGGTAAGCTCTAATAATTTTAAGTGAAGAAATAAGAAATGTTATATAGCTTAATCAGTTTATTTTGAAATCGAAAATACTTTTTATGTGTTAGAAGCATTTTTTTTTTAAGAGATGATTAGAAGCCCAATTCAGTTAACTAAGCCCAGGTAAATATGTTTAAGACTGAAATCCCTAAGGAATGGGCATACGTGATTTTAAAACAAAGGTCAAGGACCTGCGTTTCTATCCTCCCATCAACATCCGTCTCTTTTCCCAGAAGAGTTTTCATCACTTTCAAATTGCGATCAAGAGTTTCTTAGTTCTGATTTGAATATCATACCTGGTAAGATAAATCCCGTTTTCTCTACTTAGATATGTATTCTTCTAGGATTATTGAAAAGCATGAATTTTTGCTAGATTTGATTAGTTCCTTTGGTCTTTTCTTTCCACACTCATGGCCTTAGTTTGTTTTCCCTCAGTCTCGACAAAGCAGTGCCATCTCTTGCTAGTGGAGTAATATTTTTTTTTTATTAAAATTGATTTGATGATTTCTAAGGGCTGAACAGTGGGTCGATTTTAGTGAGAGTGTAGGTTTTATAATATCTCCTAGATTTTGGAGTTAAATTTCAGATCAAGATTTCATTTTTTTAAAATTTCCAATCCCATATAAATTCTGAATGTATTGTGAGGGATTTAAACCTGCAATCAAACTCTGTAGAAACTTTTCCTCATGCGAGTGTCTGCTTCAAGTCATTGTTTTGTAAGGAAAAGATTTTACTGTCTATCAAAGGTCCCTGCTTTTGGAATCTCCTATTTGTTAGTGTGAAAATGTCTCTTTATTTAGTTTCCTTACTGCATAAATTAGTGGCTCAAAACTAGATAGTAACAGTAAGTTACTTTTAAGATTGTAAAACATCACTTTATGTCCAGCCCATAATTTGTAGATCTCATTATCGTAAAATTTGTTAATGCTCCAACCCAAGTACATTGTCGTACATGACTGAGATAGGGTGACCATCTTCTTTTTCAATCTGAAGTTAGTATACAACAATAGTATTTTTTTTTAAGAGGAATTGCTTTATTTGAAAAGTAAGATTCTTATTAGTTATTACATTTAATTAAAGATTTAAGAGATGAGCTTACTGGAAGACGTTATCAAGGTGCCACACTTATTTGAGTAATTTGAGTTCAGCTCCTTCAGGTAAGTTCACTACCACCTGTACATGTTTGTTCAACCAAATAAAGGGAAGAAGTCTTGTTGATTTTTAATAGATGATTTTAGCCTATTTGCTATTATGTGAACTTGGTGAGTTATTTGCTGAGTTATTTTATTTGTTGTATTAAGTTATGAATATTATCTGGTATGGTCAAGAGTTTGTCAGTATTTTTATTTTCTGATTTAATGATGTGTTTATCCAAACATCACTATAAAAAGAACTAATACTTAAAGTGAAAGATTAAGTGATATGTACTCGGGAACAAGTTCCCACAGAGTTACAGAGTTATCAGTTTCAGAGAGTCCGATATGTTTAGTGGGTCGCTCCCCTGAGCTGTCGGATTGGCGCCTTTGAGTACATATCACGGGCCCACAGAGTAAAATTAGCCACAAAGAGATTTACTGAAAGTTTAATGAGATCTCTTTCAGAAAGTTTTACAGAAAGTTGTTTTTGAGATCTCTTTCAGAAAGTTTTACATAGATGTTTTGAGAAAGAAATTTTGAGATCTCTCCGGCAGTTTTGAGAAATTATTTTAAAAAAAAAAAATATTTTCTTTTTGAGATCTCCCTCAGAATGTATTTGAGAAGTTGTGTGTTAGTTATTTGTTCAGTGCATGCTTATAGCCTAAATTTATCTATTGATAAATTGGCATAGACTTCTACATATTTTTGTGGATCCATAGTGACTTACTAAGCGTAAAGCTTATCAGTTTTCTTTCTTCGCATGTACAGATACTAAAGCTAAGGGTAAGGCCCAGGCCAAGGAAGATGATGAGGGAGTGGAACGCGTGCCTAGATGAGTTAACGGGAACGACCTTGGCGGCTTCTGGCTAGATATTATTTTGTTTTCAGTATTTCAGTGTTATAATAAAGTGATAAATATTACTTTATTTTATTTGAGGATTTGAAGTTTGAATAAATTCCTGGATCCAGGTGGTTATCACATTTGCTGGTGATAACTAGATTTTATTGAGTTTTTATTTGGAGTTATATTTTAGCTATATTTGAGTTTTCATCAGGGTTATTTTAATGAAACGGCCGTTGTATTGCAATTTATTTTTAAAAGTAGTGAGTTAGTGTAACGTTTCCTTTAACCCTGAGAGGGGCGTTACATAACTACTCCGTATAAACTACTCCGTACTAATTCAAAGCTCCAGACAGCAAAGCTTCAGACCCCTGTTCTCCGTGCGCGACCACTAGCCAGAATTGTTGTTGCCAAGGTTTGCTACCGCCGCCACCAATTGCAACCACCGCTGCTGCGGCCACCATGGTCGCTAGTCGCCGCCACGACCGCCGCAACCACCACAGCTGCCTGTCGCTGCCGCAACTCTGTCTTCGCCATCACCGCCGCCTAATCCGGCATTGCTTTGGCTTTTCCGGCACAACTACTCATCCCGCCCCACCTTTGGATTTTCCGGCACCAGCTTTGGGACCAACACCATCCATCTCAAGTCTTGAAAGAATGCCCTAAAATATATAATTTTAATGGAATTCACACAAAAAACAAAGGTGCAGCTCATATTGCCATCTTCACAATTTCATGACATCATAAACATTAATTTTCTTATTTCCATCGAGATAAACTTTAGTGACATATAGATGACATTATTGTATCAAATTAATCCTTATATTGTCATCCTGATGAACTTTATTGCCATATAGATGGAATTATTGTATCAAATTAACACTTTATATGGGCACTATGGAATTATTGCACTATGTGTTGAAATTAACATTTCATATGGCATTAGTGAGATGTTAATACAGAAAAGTCATCTTATTTTTAAACGCAAATTGAATTAGAAAGTGAAATTGGCAATTCCAAATTGAAATGAAAATCTAATCTGAAATTTATAAAATGAATTAATTAAGATTAATTGTAAAAATACACTTGAAATTGTGTGAAAAAGAATTGGGGAAATTGGGGGGATTGGAGGAAGGATCGAATTGGAGAAGAAGATGAATAAGAAAGGAGGAGGAGGAGGAGGAGGAGGAGGAGGATCTGAACTTACGTGGCCTGCGCTACTGTTCCGGCCGGCTCTGTGGCTGCAGTGAACCACCTTCTGCCCCTCCACACATCATCGCTGCTCCGGCAGCGGGATCCACACCGGAACTATCAGGTTCGAATTCAGTATGTTATTTAATGTACGTCTGAATTAGGCCGCCGGGGATGGAGATGTTGGCTTCCATATTTGAAATACTCAAGAAGGAGAAGCTTAATTGTGAATATGCAATTGATAATTTAAGAAGATAGCAGAGTAGCAGACATGTCAGGCGAGGGTCGGATATGATCGAAGGAAGGGTTGGGAAGGGGTGAGTTTAATTTGGGAAAATGCTTCGTGTACACGGCGTTTTACACGCCCGTGTACACGCTATAAAATAGGGTAAAAATTTTACCTTCTTTCATTTACCCTCTCCCTTCTCTTTCCAGTTTCCATTCCAATTCCTCCCTCCTCTTCCTCTCTTACGCTAACCCTCTCCCCTGTTGTCTCTATCATTTCCCCCCTTCTTCTTTCCCTCTGGTTCCTTTTTCTTTTCTTTCTCTTGGACTCCCTATCTCAAAACGGAAAGCTCATCCCCTGTTCTGCCATATTATTGGAGAATCACATGGTATTAAATCTCTTCTATTTCTCTATTGTAAATTTACAGTTTCCAATTTGGATTTTGCATATAAAGTGAAATGATTTCTGAAGTTTCTTTAAATTTTAATTATGCTTTTATGCTTATTTTTTGTTTCTGAAGTTGCTCATTTAACTATTTGATTTCATAAATTTCTGTTTTAGTTAGGAATTAATGTTTACATTTGACTACAATAATTTTAATTATTAAAATGATTTAATTATTCCGTTTTTTGGTGAATTAATGTTGAATTCTTGACTAAGTATTACGTTTGTTGAAATGATTCAATAAATACCTATTTCTATCTATGGTTTTGGAGAAGGGGTTTTGGTAAATAGCTTGTCTTTTACAAATTTGTTGTACTCTTAGGATTATTGATTTTTTTCTAAGAAACAAACAAGCTTTTATTCATATATTGTTTTCTAAGAAATTGAACTTCTCGGTGTTAATATGTATGGGATGATTTTCATGTTCATGGAATAAGTTCAGGCATATTTTTAGTTTGGAACAAGTATGCACTGCTCGTTTTGTCTGTGCAAAACTAATTTTTTTCGTTTTTTAAAGTGAAGTGTTTGTGACACGGACAAAAAATATTGTTTGTGGCACAAATCATATTTGTCTGTGCACAAAAAAATATGATTTGTCTGTGCCACAGACAATTCACTTTAACATGTGGTGCATTTAAAATTTAGTCCATCAACCTTAAACTTTTTTTCATATTTCTATCACACTGCCCAAACAATTCTTCTTGATCAACAAAACTCACCCTTAAAGGGTTTCATGCCACAAGTACCTACGACATTAGTCAACTTAGTTTCATAACTTTTATTGACGCTATGAATCTTACACCGTTGCTTTTTGATATGCAGATTATTAGCAATTTGAATTTCAATAATTGTGACAATTGACAAACTACTACACAGAGAAAAAAGAAGGTTGTTAGTGGATGAGATTGAGCATGCCTATGTTTATGGATATATGAAGTGTTTTCGTGCAAGAATGTGAGGTCCAAAGTACAAGATAATTCACATTTTAGTCATGTAAATAGTCACTTTGTAAAATTTGATGTTATTGAATTTAGTATGTAAGTGTATTTAGATTTACTTTTGTTTCACTTTGTAAAATTTGATGTTGTTGAATATGACCGGTTTATTGTGAAGATAATGTATCATGTAAATTAAATATGTTTTGATTAACAAGAGCTTTAACCACGTCACCTCACTGCTTGAGGGACATCCTCTATCTCTTCATGACCAATTTTAGTATGTTGAAGGCTTGTGATTGAAAATTGTCTCTTTCTCAATCAGTTTGAGCAAGGCATATGATAAATCAAATAGTGGTATGAAATGGAATCAAAAGGTCAAGAATGAGAGATTCAAAGCAAAGGATTACTACATGTTTCATTTTTGTAATTAGTTATATTGCACGGTTAATTTTCTTGTATTACAATGAGTGTAATTAAACCTCTTTTTTGTCATAGACAAAAAAAAGTTTGTTTCTAAGTGTATTTGCAAAGATAAGCTTTAGCCAAGTGTTTGTGTACATACAACTTCAATACAAATTTTGTCTGCGTACAAACAATAATTATTGTTAATGTTTGTTTATTTTGTCAGTACATGGTTGAAGTATTGCTAGTGTGTGTTTATATTATCTGTGCATAATTTTTCTGGCCATAATTGTTTGTATTAAGATTTTTTACCTTAATAGTTATGTGTTGAAATAGATAAATTACCTTAATAGGTATGTGTTGAAATAGATAATACTACCTTAATACCTAAAGATAAGATTTAACCAAGCATTTGTGTACAAATAATTTTTATACAAGCTAAGTTTTTCTGTGTGGAGGCATTTTCTATACAAGTTTTGTCTATGTACAAACAATAATTATTGTTTGTATGTTCATTTATTTTGTCTGTACATGATTGAAGTATTGTCTGTGTGTTTGTTTATATTGTCTATGCATAGTTGTTCAGACCGAATTTGTTTGTATGAAGATTTTTTTACCTTAATAGGTATATGTTGAATTAGATTATTTGTGACTGTGCTCGGACAATTGTTTTTATGGTCTTAAAAGAAGTAATTCCAAATATATAACAAAATTAAAGTAGTGGTAAAAAATGTGATTCTAGTAACTTAAATGACTATAATTGTATTCAAATGTTACATTAGAGTGACTATAAAACTTACTCAAAGTAACTTATAATCACATTTTTGTCCATAGAGTTTTTATTAGTAAGGTTTTAGAAAAAAGCTCTTTTTAAAATGAATTGAAAAAATTGTGATGCCGCATAATTTTTTGGGGTAAGTTTCATTGACAATTTCCTTTAAGAAACAAAAATTTGAAAACACATTCATTTGTTAAGATAAATTTCTTCACAACTATTGTCTGGGCACAGACAATAATTGTAACCTGTTACAGTGGCTATTGTTTGTAACCAGACACTTCACTTACCATATTAGCACATTCTAGTGACTATTGTCTGTGAGCAGACACTTTATGCCTATTTCCCAGATAATTCTACTTAGAATATTAGCTCATTCCGGTGACTATTGCTTGTGATCAAACATTTGATATCAAATTCACAGACATTTTCATTTAACACATTAGCCTGTTTAAGTGATTATTGTCTGTAACTGGACACAAGTTGTTTTATGTGTGTCACAAACAATTTTTTTTGTCTGTATCACAGACATTTCACCTTACAAATGAAAAATGATGTTTTATGTTTGTTTAAATACCTTAACCACAAAAAGAACACATGATATAATTTTTTTATTCATATCATAGAATACAACTAAAATAAAGTTTAACTATTCGGTTGCACAAATGACCTTTTCTAAACTAATCCACAAAAATACAATTGGTCAATTAAGTTAAAATGTACAAAGCTAGATCTAATTAATCATGTTCTAACTACTAGGATTGAACAAGATAGAACATAATCTTATGAATCACTTGAACATAAGCTTATGAATCATAAGTACATTGTTGAGGATAGTCATTTTTCCATTGAGTTGGTAAGTTCCTTCACACTTATGGAGTGTCTTCATAGGAATTTCAGCGATTCATATGCATCCACTTTCTTGTAGAAAGCAATGGCTATTTCCGGTCGATTCTCATCTTTTCTCCTTCATATAAAAAATAGAAAGAAAAGTATTGTAATAATCATCTTTATAGCACCTTTTAAAGTAATAACTTAAAATTAGAACTAGCGAATTACTATAATTGAAAATAAGGATGGAAACACCATAGAAGAGATTCCTCATTCCTCCACGTAAAGCAAGAATGGAAAGAACTGCAGCCACAGAAAATGCAAAAAAGGCTAAAATGAGAAGTGCTCCTATTTTCTTCTCATTCTTGTGTTCAAGCACAAGAAAAATAAAAAGAAACTACGTGATTCGTAAATTGGTTGTTAATTGCATCATTTACCTTATTCATTTGGTCTATAATGGGATAAAATGTTGACTCCAATATGCAAGTTTTACAACTTACATCATAATACCTAATTTCGATACTTTCTTAATGTACAGATCTCTTCTTTCCAATCGATCTAGTCATGAAACCACGGTCCCAAACCCTTCTGTGAAGATGAAGTGTCCTGCAAAAACACATTGGAATATGAATCCCAGCAATAACCTTTATGGTTTGATAGATGCAAAATAAAAAATGCTAATAAAAGAATTCATTCAAGCATGTCAACGAACACCTTATATGCATAAAAGTGAAATACAATAGTTGAATAAATTAAATTATAATCATCACAAATCCATACTAATAACAATGTAATAAGCATTCAACATCAAACAACATATATTGTATTTATAAAATTAAAAAAAAAAAGAACAAATATAACCCTAAATGCACAAAAAAATCCGAATTAAATTTAAAAAAAATGAACAAATATAACACTAAACGTAACCCTCAGTCTGCCTTCAACACTTACCATTTTCATAAATTTTTCATCTGAAAAACAAATAAATACGTTTATGTTTCTATATTTGGGGCTTATTTGGGATTCTACAGTTTGCGCATTTTTTTAGAGCAAGAAACACTTGTAATTTAGATCATCAAAGAACTTGAATTAAAGAATGAAGACTCACCTCCTAATTTGACGATGGAGATGGTGCACCGCGGAAAGCGTTAGCAAAGGCTGTTGATTCATCGTGTCTACCTTTGATGTAGCTTGTCTCCTATTTAATTACTCGTATCAATTAACTAAAAGAGGAAGAAGATAAAAAACGAAGAAAACGAAAAGCCTGGCAGGCCAGAGTAAGAAAGCCAGAAGGAGGGGAGGAGGATTTGTCGATAGGGAAAAGGAGGAAAAAGAGAGAGAGGATGGGGGAATTGGGGGTGGAGTGGAAGAAGGGTAAAAAGAAGAAGGGGAAAAGTAAAAGGGAGGAGCTATATATGCGGTGTATACGGGCGTGTAACCCGCCGTGTACACAACGCATTTTCCTTTAATTTGTGCCTAACAGGTTGCATGTGAGGGACGAATCGTTCATTAAATGTGAGAGGGTAAATTCGGGAGAGAAATGGAGAATCAAATTAAAAGCTCCTGTTCAGGGAATAAATCAATAACAAGTCCTACTTTGGAACATCTTAATTATTTTAGTCCTATTTAGGTTAATATCATAAACATTAACTCTTATTTAGGAATATTAAACA